CCTCATTTTCAACTTGTTCATGTGACCACTACTACAACGGGTTTCACAAAGGAAAACGATCGCGGGAGATTCTTTTCGGATTAAACTCTTTAATCCATTAACTGTCCAAGGGTTCCCAAGTCCTTGGCAGTTCCAGCATAGGATATTCATTGGGACCGGCGGGGCTGAGCCGAAGCAGCCTCCACCGATGAGTTCATTGTAGTTGGGTCAGTATGGCACCTAAAACGTTTTTGGGTTGGCAGGTCATCCCCAAAAGGAGCAACATGCATGCGTCGCTTAGCTGGAGTGAGGTCAGGAGGAAACTCAGAAGCAATACGTTTTGCCATACGTCCTTTGCTGCTGGTTTTGCATGACCAACCATGCACAAAATTACTGTCAGCCCCTTGCTGTCTAGTTCCCATAATGTGCTCAGTGGTTGGCCCAAGAAGGAAAGGATCAGACCCAAGTGGCTGGGCCACATCAGCCACATTGTTTCCCAAGATAGGGCCCAAGCATGAGTCCAACGATTCCCCAAGGCCTAAAAGGTGGTGGCCAGAATGATTTACCAGTGGCCCACTTGACAAGAAAGCAGCAGGTGTCCTGTAAAGATTTTCAGAACTATCAGTGTCAGAAGGCAAGACATGTGCACGAGAAGGTTTCAAAGAGATCGTTGTATCCACCATATTAGAATCATGAATCGGTGTGCCAAGGAGCATAGGTTGGTTCCCAAATTCCATGGGGTTATGTCCCATCCCAAGCGCCAGAGAATGTTCCTCTGACAAAATGGCGGTGGCAGCAGTACCAAGACCAGGCACAGAGTTCAAGTGCAGACTCTCCTCTTGTTCCACTGTCAGTGCGGGGATGTCAGACCCAGCGGTGCCCCCGAAACCCAGACCAGGAGTGTGGTCAACACCTGTCACTGGATCAGAGTAACGCCAACCAGGTGCACGACGGCGATTCACCCCAATTTTGTTTATTTCCTTTTTGTTTTTCAAAAACAAAAACAAAAACAAAAATTTAGTGTTGTAAATTTGTTGTGAGATAAACACTGTCAATGAGATAATGTAGGGTTCAAGTGATGTTAAGATATATCATAAATTATATAAACAAAAAAAACATTGAATCTCAACCTTATGAAATTCTATAATAAAAATAATTTTTTAGCAGTGTAAAGATCCTCGAGGATCTTCTTCGTAATGTTTGTTTCTTGACTTTTTTTTAAAAAAATATCTACTTCGCCGATAATAAAGCTAAATTACATAATTGTCACACAATTTAGTCTCAACTACAATAATTACCTGATAAGATATCCTGAATAATAATGTCCAAAAGAAACTTACAAAATAAAATATATCTAACAAATCCATTGACTTCGGTATGAAATTTTAAAAATTTGAGTTTCAATTGATAAATGACTCTTTGTGTTATTTATCTCTAAATCCATTTTGAATTGTGACATAAAGTATTATAATTGGTCACAAATAGTCCAACTCAAAAGGGAAAAAGGGTGTTCAGATGATGGTAAAAGGAACCAAAAGCAATAAATAAAAGTAAAGGGTTATTATCACAAAAGGTCCCTAAGGTTTAGGAAACTATCAGATTGCATCCTTAATGTTTTTTTGTGTCACTTATGGTCCTCAAGGTTAGTATGTGTGATCACAAATGGTCCTTGCCGTTAGGTTCCGTCAAAAACTCCGTTAGTTTGCTGACGTGGCATATATACATATCACAAAACATCCCTGAGGTTAACACATCTATCACAAATGGTCCCTGCAAATTTTTTTAATTTTTTAATTTAAAATTCATAAAATTTTGTTTTTGTTTTTTATAATATTTAAAAATATATATTGTATTTTAAATACATATGATACTATATTTTTGAAGATGAGGGCTCCACATATATGCCACACCAACAAACTAATGAAGTTTTTTTAAAAAAATAATCTAAAATTCAAAAAATTTAAAAATGGAAAAACCATTTATATAAGGATTTTAACCTTGAGGACCATTTATAAACCCTAGACCCTTGATTTTTTTCATTTTTAAATTTTATGAATTTTAAATTAATTTTTAAAAACTCCATTAGTTTGTTGATGTGACATATATGTGGAGCCCACATCTAAAATAATATAGTGTCATGTGTATTTAAAATACAATGTATATTTTAAAATAATTTAAAATTCATAAGATTTAAAAAAGAAAACCAAAATTTTATGAATTTTAAATGAAAAAAATTAAAAAAATTTGTAAGGACCATTTGTGATAGATGTGTAAACCTCAGGGATGTTTTGTGATATATATATATGCCACATCAGCAAACTAACGGAGTTTTTGACGGAACCTAACGGCAGGGACCATTTGTGATTACACATACTAACCTTGAGGACCACCAATGACACAAAAAAACATTAAGGATGCAATCTGATAGTTTCCTAAACCTTAGGGACCTTTTGTGATAATAAGCCTTAAAAGATTGTTATGGTTGAATAAGAATTAGTTGTACAATTTAATCGTATCGTATTATTCATAAATTTTTCTTATTAAAATAAATTAATATTCAAAAGGCTTACGCCTCAACGCTTCAAGGCTTACGCCTTGCATAGCGCTACTAAAAACGCCTCACCTATACGCCTCGCCTTTGAAAACATTGGTTTCTAAGTAAAGATGTGTAAAATTGAGAAATCGATTTGCACGTGGGAGATTCAAGTGTTTGGTAGGTAGTAAAGTTGCCTAGAAAATTAGTGAGAAAGTGATAAAGAATGAAAAGGGTATAGTGATTTGTTTTAATTGTTTGAGTTATCTTTTTGGAACAAAATTCTTATCTATTTATTTTCTAATTGTTTCCATTCTTATTTAAATGGAATTGCTAGTTGAAGTTCTCAATTGAAGTTCTTGCATTAAAATATGGCTTAACTACTGTTTCACCTCTTGAACGGACACTCATCTTACTTTAACCCCTGAAACTGAACTTTCCTCACTTAACCCTCTATAATCTCTGAAACTAATTTAACTGTTTTCCAATAACTAAATTGACTCATAATTAGGCAAACTCACAATTAAAGCACGATGCGGCCAACTGAACAAAATAAATTAATAGGCAACTCATAATAAGGCCAAATTAAACTGAGTTAGCTATATAGTTAGTTCTCAGGTTCATCCAGCTAATTAATGCTGTCATATATTTTGTGAGGAATTTTAATTAATATACAAATTTGTTTCTAGAACAAGAAATCTAATGCCCCTTTAATTGGAATGTAAAAAGAAAAAAAGAAAAAAAAAAGAAGAAGTAAATTAATCTAAAAGAAATTGATGCAAATTACTAATAATTATCATTAGTTGACAAAGTGGAATTCATCCGCAGCTTTACATCACGATGAACCAATCTACCCTTTCCTCCATGAAAAAATTCAACGTCTAACACATCTAAACTTCTATAATCAACGATGGTAAATCTTCCTCCAAAAGCTGATTGAATCATGGCGGATGAAACCACCATCTTCATTTCCAAGCTCAACCTCAAACGCCTTCTCTTCCTTTCCCTAATTGCCTTTTTATTAAGCTCTGGTACCCAATAGGGCTTCTCAGCACATGCTGAGTTGCTAATGTTCAGCTTCACCGTCCTCTGCTTCAGGCTCCCAATCTCCATCGGTGTTCTCAACCCCGAGGCGCATGAAAATCCGTAGTTTTTGTAATGAAGGAGGGTTTCGAGGTCGGACACGAGGATCGTGAGCTTGTTCTTGTGATAGTTTTGTATGGTGAGGGTGGCTTCCCATTTGGTGGTGTTCAATGGATGTGTGGATTTGGCATGGAAATTTGATGTTGACAAAGAATGCAAAATCACTTGAAGGGATTTTGATTTTGGACAATAGGTCTCAGACATGTATAGGACACCCACAAACAAGTACCCAAGAAACCCTAGAAAAGCAAGCACTGAAAGTACAATTTTTGTGATGGTTACTTCGGGTACTTGATCAGTATAATTGGCTTGTGAAGAAACCCTTTCTGCATGAGGGAAGGATAAGGAATGAATATTTCCCTTATAGTACTGCGTACTCATTTGAGAGTTTGAAACTCGCTCTTCTCTGACCTATTATGTCTCCTCCTTAATTCTTCACCGAGACCTATTATGTCTCCTCCTTAATTCTTCACCGAGAGGAGAAAAAAAATGGCCGAGTGGGGGGAAATTAAGGAGGCCTACGCAAGTAGGCAATGGAAAGGAGAGAGTATATTCATAAAAAAGGTGTGGTGTCATTACCTGTTTGCAGTTGGAAAGGTTTTGGGAGTTTTGGAAAGTTTTGTACCCAAAAACTAACTAATTGTGTATATTCTAAGATGTAATTGTCCATTGGTTGATCAGCAACTGAAGTTGTTTCTAATAAAACTAAAAGTTAATTAATTGGATAAATGTGTAAATAATCATTTACCCAAATCATGGTAAGTTTATAACTCACAGCTGGTACTTTGACTATGAATCTATGATCTAAAAAATTAATAAAAGTTTGTTCTTTGTTTTGTTATTTGACAATGTACTCAACTCTCGGATCTTGCTGGCTAACTGTTTATAATTGCTAATTCATATCATACTCATACCAACGCATGCACTAAACTGATTTCTGATGACATTTACATTATACAAAAAAATGTAAAGATCGAACTTGATGCAAGCCTTCCCTCGGCTACAACTCAGGGCAGTCCTTGGGTAAGTTCCGTCCATAGTTTTGACAATATAGCGATATTCTAAATACCTTAATTTTTTTTAGGGCGATAAATTGAAACTGATGTATTAAGTGGCATTTCTACAAAAACATCTTTTAAAAATATAGTGGGTGGGGAAATAAGTAGCAGATGAAAATAGCAGCACTCTTAATAGATAATTGGTTGATTTCATAAAATTTATTAATTGGCCCTTCATATTCATTTAATCTACAACTGGGCCAGGCCCATATAATTAAAGAAACATTTTGGCCACAAAATAAATAAAGAAACTATGGCTGTGATTCGAGTATAAATAACCCAAAAGCACTGAAAAACCAGAGTCGTCACCCATAGCTCGTTTCACTCCGCGCTTCGAGTCTTCCTCCATTGAAGCCATCCTCGCCCACCACTTCTCCGGTTCAACCCATCATCGCCTTCTCTCCCATCTCCAGGTATAGCTCGTTCTCTTGATTGGTTTCAGTCGATCAAGTTTTTTTTTTTTTTTTTTTTTTTTCAAGGTTTTGATTAATTTTCCTCTCGTTAAGCCCGGATGCTCCCCCGCCTTTGATTTTTCAAATCAAAAATCTTTCTCTCTTCATTCTCTGTTATGTACGCGTTTTAGTTCGTCGTCAATTTAGGGTTTTCTTCTCAGTTCAAATTCCGTATTTTCTTTGGCGGGCTAGCGTAATGCGGGTTTTCATTTTTGTATTTTTCGGGTTTTATATGATTGTTTCTATGGGTTTTTAGATGATTATGATGGTTTTACGATCTGGGTTTGACTTTTTATTTTTTAATTTTTAATTTTTAATTTTTTTTTAATAGATGGGCTTCATATATAATTTGTATGCAGGGTCCGTATTTTGAATGCGAAATGTGTTTCTTTGTTCTGTGAAATATTTAAAAGGTGATTACCAATTAGGGTTTTGAGGGACATATCAATTTTGATGGGGTTTGTTTGTCTTGAAAGTTTATAGGAGAAAAAATTGTTCTTAGTTGCTGTTTCCTGTGCTGTTTCGTTTAGTTTTCTGTTGTTTTGCCTTTAGTTTTCTGCTTCTTATTCTGAGCGTGTCTAATAATGTTTGAAAACAGGGTCCTCATTGCACATCCAATGTCTTTTGATCTCAACAACAAACATTCATCAATTATTGGACAATTTTATTTTATGAACCGAGGGAGGCTCTGGTGTTCGCGGAGGATCTTGTTCCGGCACTGGACTTGACCAAATTTTTTTTGGGAGTGGGCGTTGTTTATAATAGTGCATTATTTTCCTCACATCTTGTGAGGAATTTTTACAGTGGGATTTAAGGCTATTGTTAGATATTTGAGACTTTACATTTGGATTTTGTGATGGGGAAACCACCGTTGCCTCCTGGTTTCCGGTTTTCTCCAACTGATGTAGAACTTGTACGGTATTATTTGAAGAGGAAGGTAATGGGGAAAAGGCTCCATTTTAACTTCATTGCAGAGGTCGACATTCACAAGTATGCTCCTTGGGATCTTCCAGGTATATGTCATTCTAATTTCTCTTATTTGTTTTCTTCACTGTCATTTACCTTGGTTTTCCTACTTTGTATCATATAGTTTCTGACTGTGTTGTGCTTTTTATTTCTTCAGAAAAATCTGGCTGGCAAAGTGGAGATCTAAAGTGGTACTTCTTTTGTCCGACAGCAAGGAAGTATCCAACTGGAGTTAGAGTGCAACGTGGCACCGATTGTGGTTACTGGAAGTCCACGGGAAAGGATAGATCTGTTCTTTACAATGGTGAAGTTTCCGGGTGGAAAAAAATATTGATCTTTCATAAAGGTCGATCCCCAAAAGGAGAAAGAACAGATTGGGTTATGCACGAGTATAGGCTTGAAGCTAAGGACCTGGCTGATAGTGGTGTGCCACATGTAAATGACACTCTTCCTCTCACTATTTTGTATGCTTCTTTGTTTTCAATAAATTAGTCTGACACTCTGCAGTGATTTAGTAATATACTCTCCTTTTGTAAAAGGTTTGTTATTCTTTAATGTTTTACATGATTAGAATTTTTTTCATGCTGCTGAATTGGACTGATAATGTTAGATTTCCTTACTTCGTACAATTTGGTTTACTGCTTTTCATGGCTTGTGGGTTTTTGTTGAATAAGTTTTTTGTCTTTTTGGTGTTGCAGGACTCATATGTGATCTGTATGATTTTCCAAAAAGATGGGTGGGGGCCCAAAAATGGTGCACAATATGGTGCACCATTTAAAGAGGAAGACTGGACTGATGATGAGGCTGAAATTTGTTCAGAAGCAGTCCCACATGAAAACATGTCTGAGCCAAACCTTGTAGTGCAGAGCAACTGTAAGAGTTCTGTCACTACTAGCGGACATTCCCCGAAGGGTATACACATAGGTCCTTCTGAATCGTGCATATCAGATGTTTTACCACCTTCTGGCAATGTTCTCCAATTGGTTTCCAGTAATCATGTTACAATGGAGAAGCTTCATGGTTCCGATGATGATATCCTGTCAATGTTGAATTGCTTCACTGAAGGAAGCACTTCCTTAATGAAAGTAAATGACAAAAATGAGGTGTGTAATGCGCCCTTCTCTTTTTTCTACATGTAATATATATCATTCCTGATCCATAGCAAGTGGAAATGCAAATCATGATCTAATTTATGCAATCAGGATAGGTTTATGTTGTGACACTCTGCTCGTGCCATAGATTTCCAATTTCAGATGTGCTAATGTGGCACAATATAGTTGGGTATATTTTACTTTTGTCATTGATGTCATCCAGGTTGTTGAAAGAGACAAATTAGCCTTGGTTTTTGTTTTTTTTTCTGATGAGGGTCTTGAGTGCTCTGCAAATCTGTGCATCTGTAGTTTGCGTTATTTCCTTCCCCTCTCTCTCTCTCTCTCTCTCTCCCCTTTGGAGAGGTTTGGTGCTTCTCTTACTGTGTTTCTGTGTTTACTTTTCCTTGATGGAAGGCAAATTTTCCTATTCTTTATTCATGGAGAAATGATATGTTATTTATTAACTATAGTGTGCAAATGTTATTTCTTGAAGCTAGAGTTTTAATCTAGATGGTATAACTAGAAAAGTTGATGGCTTTGAATTTCAATTTTGAAAATTTCACTACATACTGGAGCCTCTTGAATGTTCTTATATGCACCTATATCTGTTAAAAGAAAAAAATTAATTCCATAAGTACATTAGTACAAATAAATTATCTTGCTAATGTTCTTCAAACTTCTAATGTAAAACTTCCTCACGGTTTGCAGGAGCTTGGTAATGTCATTCATTCTGGATATGCTAGTGCTACACCTAATGTCAATAGTGATGATATTTATGAAGATTTAGGAGACTTGGGGAAGACGGCTAGAGTGAGTGAAGATGAATTTTATTTCTCCAATGTGCATAATTCAATCTGTGCTCCGGCTCAAATGCCGCTAGGTGACAATGGGCAATTCTTGGAGCTGGATGATCTATCATGGTAAACCGTTGAATTGCCATGATTTGACATATACTCAGCCTCCTACTTCGATGGGAGAGACGCCATTTCCGGTTGAAGACGAGTTGAATGTGTTTGATAACTTCAACTTCTGAAATTATTGTTGCTCTTCAGTCTTTCAGATCAAATTTGTTAACCGGTTTGCTAACTTTCAGAAGTTCACCTTATCAGACACAACTTTGAGTTGCTTCCGCACATTCATTTTTATTGTTGGGACGGAACAATACTAAAAATTGTGTTTACCGCATTGTATTAACAATTATCAGGTTTACCTGGGATTACACTTGTTTTATGTCTATAATCTTAAACTAGACTTGTGTACTTTCGTAGTGTGTTTCTTTTGGGTCAATAACGTTGAGGTTATAATCATGAGGTTGTTTCTTGGATTATGTTTTTACTGCACCATCTTTTTGGGTCAATAACTCTAATTTTGCACTTTGGAAGATCAAACCAAACTCTTGCAACCTACTCATTTCACTTTCCCAACGGCATCAAACCAAATTCTTTTACAAGCGTGACAACGGACTTCTACATTTTTTTTCAGTACAAGCGATTCCAGAAAAGGGAACAATGGACTTTACATTAAGCTATATATTTTCGGTTTTTCCAATCAAACTTGTATTTTCCATGACCTCTTCTTGTCAAAACCCCAACAACCAGCAATGCATTTTTTTGAGGGGTGAAATGTGAGGTTGTTGATGAACTTTAATCAGCAATCACTTCCACCCAAAGTCAAACATCCAAAAACCAATGAAAACAAAGGGTGATTAAATTCTAATTTCTAATTCATATACAATTAAAATTAATTGAGAAAAAAAAGGGTCATAGATTGTAAACCAAAACGAAATGAAATATTTTTAAATTAATTTCAGCAAATACCCCAATAACAAAAACAAAACAAAACCTTGAAATCCAGTTTTAAATCTCAAAGCTCAGAATATTTTGAAAGAAAAAACCCACAAAAAAAGAAGAAGAGAACATTAATAAATCATATGTGGGAGATAGAGAGAGAGTCAGAAATCTCGTGTGGAAGTGCCGCTCATAGAAACCAAGAGATGCCTGGTACTGCGTTTGCACATTGAATTTCATCATCCCCTCTCCTCCTTCATATATACATATATATATTAACACAAAACCCTAATTACAGAACCACACAACGCCATTGAAATTCACACGAGCTTTGTTTGGATCGGATAGCAGAGGCTGCTGAGGCTTGCCTTTTATAAAGAACGCTGCTCCTCATAGCGGTGCCCTAGCCTCGCCTTACGGAGTCGTTGGCCCCAAGCTCTTTCTACGTCGTCGTTTTGAATTAGAGTGGGCCCTAACCTCTTACTACGATCGGATTGGCCCGGCCCATATTTAAGCTGGCCCAAACAAATAAGAAACTCCTTTTTAAATTTTTTGGGGTAAAAAAAATAAATATAGGTCATAAAATAAATAAAGACATTTCTTTGGGTCGGAAACTAAATACACAACTATTCTGGCCAGAAAGTAAATAATAAAACTTTAAACGCGTTATAAATCGACTAAGTAGCGTGACGAAAACAAAACACTCCGCTCTCTACTGCTGTGTTCTCAGTTCGCTCGTCGTCTGTTCCTGCCTTTCAATCTCGTTCTCCATTTTAGGTATTTCTCTCTCTTTCGATTCAAATTTTCGATTTCTCTGGTTCTTGTTTCTAGGGTTTGATTCATTTTGTTTATTTATCTTTCTCTTTCTTTTTCTTTATTTTTTTCTTTCGTTCACGTCTTTGTTTTTCGTCAATGTAGTTCTTTTTCGTCAATTCAAATTTTGTTATCTCTTTTCGTTCACGTCTTTGTTTTTCGTCAATGTAGTTCTTTTTCTTCAATTCAAATTTTGTTATCTCTTACGGGTTCGTGGGTAGGTGACGGAATTTGAATATTGAATATAATTTGGAGATTATTCGCATACGTTGATTCTGTGTTTCAATATGGGTTCTTTCTTTTTGCGATCTAGGGTTTGTGGTTTTTTTTTTTTTGGGTTTTGAATTTTGTTGCTTTACGAGAATTATGCTCATTTTACGATCTGGGTTTGAATTTTTTTTCCTATCTGGTTATTTTGATGATTCGTATGTGGGATTACTTCTTTTAAATTCAATGTGTCTTGCTGTTGAATATTTTATATCGATTATCAATTAGGTTTTTTGACAATTCAAATATCAATTTTATGCGATGTTGTTTTGTCTTGAGTTTTTTTTTATATATAAAAGAGTTTACTGCTTCCTGTGTTTCGTTGCTTATTCGTAGTTATTTTGCCTTTGGTTTTCTGCTGCTTAACGAAGTTTATGTGTAATAATGTTGGAAACAGGGTCTTCATTTTGCACCCGATGTCTTTTGATCACAACAAGGAACATTCATCAATTATTATAGCATTTTGTTTTATGAACCGAGGCAGACTGTGGTTGCGGAGGATATTGTTTCGGCACTGGACTTGAAACTCCTTTTCTTTGGAGGAAAGGTTCTTGATTCATTCACTTCTTGTGAGGAATTTCTAGTTTGAGATTTAAGGGTTCTTATTAGATAGGGGGACTCTCATGGGGAAATCATCCTTGGCTCCTGGGTTTCGGTTCAAGCCAACTGATGTTGAGCTTGTGCAATACTACTTGAAGAGAAAGTTACTGGGGAAAAGGCTTGGTTTTAAAGTCATTGCAGAGGTTGACATTTACAAGTATGATCCTTGGGATCTTCCAGGTATAGGTCACTTCACATTCTCGCCTTTGAATTCTTTATCTATCATCCAGTTCATTCTTTGTATTATTTAATTTCTTACTGTGTTTTGTTTTTCCTTTCTAGACAAATCTTGCTGGGAAAGTGGGGATCTGAAATGGTATTTCTTTTGTCCGAGAGAAAAGAAGTATCGTAATGGGAATAGAATTCAACGTGCCACTGAAGGTGGTTACTGGAAGACCACGGGAAAGGATAGATCGGTTCTTTACAGTGGTGAAGTTGTTGGGTGGATAAAAACTTTAATTTTTCACACTGGTCGAGCCCCACGAGGAGATCGAACAAATTGGGTTATGCATGAGTATAGGCTTGAAGATCAGGGCCTGGCTGATAAGGGTGTGCCTCTGGTAATTGCTACTCTTCCTCCTTTAATTATTTTTATTTATTCCTTTTATTCAATGGAATTTTTTCATGCTGCTGAATTGGACTGATAATGTTACTTTTCCTCTACTTCATACAATTTGTTTTACTGCTTTTCATGGCTTGTGAGTTTTTGTTGAATAAGTTTTGTGGCTTTTTGGTGTTGCAGGACTCATATGTGATCTGTATGATTTTCGAAAAAGATGGGTTGGGGCCAAAAATTGGTGCACAATATGGTGCACCCTTCAAAGAGGAAGACTGGACTGATGATGAAGCTGAAATTTGTTCAGAAGCAATCCCACATGAAAATATGTCTGAGCCAAACCTTGTAGTGCTGAGCAACTGTAATAGTTCCATCACTACTAGCGGACATTCGCCGAAGGGTATACACACAAGTCCTTCTGAATCGTGCATATCAGATGTTATACCCCCTTCTTGCAATGTTCACCAATTGGTTTCCAGTAATCATGTTACAATGGATAAGCTTCATGGTTCCGATGATGATATCCTGTCAATGTTGAATTGCTTCACTGAAGGAAGCACTTCCTTAATTAAAGAAAATGACAAAAATGAGGTGTGTAATGCACCCTTCTCTTTTTTCTACATGTAGTGTATATCATTCCTGATCTATAGCAAGTGGAAATGCAAATCATGATCTAATTTATGCAATCAGGATAGGTTTATGTTGTGACACTCTGCTCGTGCCATAGATTTCCAATTTCAGATGTGCTAATGTGGCACAATATAGTTGGGTATATTTTATTTTTGTCATTGATGTCATCCAGGTTGTTGAAAGAGAAAAATTAGCCTTTTTTTTATTTTTTATTTTTCTGATGAGGGTCTTGAGTGCTCTGCAAATTCCGTGCATCTGTAGTTTGCGTTATTTCCTTCATCTCTCTCTCTCTCTCTCTCTCTCTCTCTCAGCAACCTAATTGGTTCCTTTTTTCTTTTTCATACTGCTTTATTTTGGAGAGGTTTGGTGCTTCTCTGACTGTTTTTCTGTTTTTACTTTTCCATGGATGGAGGGCAAATTTTCCTATTCTTTATTCATGGAGAAATGATATGTTATTAATTATAGTGCAAATGTTATTTCTTGAAGCTAGAGTTTTAAACTAGATGGCGTAACTAGAAAAGTTGATGGCTTTGAATTTCAATTTTGAAAATTTCATTACATGCTGGAGCCTCTTGGATGTTCTTATATGCACCTATATCTGTTAAAAGAAAAAAAATGGTTCCATAAGTACATTAGTACAAATAAATTATCTTGCTAATGTTCTTTAAACTTCTAATGTATGCTAATGTAAAACATCCTCACGGTTTGCAGGAGCTTGGTAATGTCATTCCTTCTGGAAATGCTAGTGCTACACCCAATTTCAATGGTGATGATATTTATGAAGATTTAGGAGATTTGGGGAAGATGGCTAGAGTGAGTGAAGATGAATATAATTTCTCCAATGTGCATAATTCAATCCGTGCCCCGGCTCAAATGCAGCTAGGTGACAATGAGCAATTCTTGGAGCTGGATGATCTATCTTGGTAAACCGTTGAATTGCCATGATTCATATACTCAGCCTCCTACTTTGATGGGAGAGACGCCTATTCTGGTTGAAGACGAGTTGAATTTGTTTGATAACTTTAACTTCTGAAATTATTTTTGCTCTCTAGTCCTTCAGATCAAATTTGTTAACCAGTTTGCTAACTTTCAGAAGTTCACCTTATCAGGCACAACTTTGAGTTGCCTCTGCACATTCATTTTCATTGTTGGGATGGAACGGTACTGAAAATTGTGTTTACCGTATTGTATTAAAAATTATCAGGTTTACCTGGGATTACCGTATTGTTTTACTATAATCTTTTACGAGGGTTTACGCTTAAACTATGCTTGTGTACTTTCGTAGTGTGTTTCTTTTGGGTCAATAACGTTGAGGTTATAATCAAGAGGTTGTGACTTGGCTTATGTTTTTTCATTCACGTGTACTTGTGTTATTGTTGCTTTTGCATTGTGAAATTCTTTCTTGTCTTATGCCTCAGTCATATTATCTCAGTATTTGAACATTTTTTATTTATATTTAAAAAACTATTTTAGCGAGGTTTTATTTATTTATTTGCTTCAATATTTCGTTGAATTTAACATAATGAATTGAACCTTTTTTTAATGTTTTTTAATTTTGTTTTTAAAATGTTTATTTTATCAAGTTCTGGGCGTTTTTCTCTAATTTTAATCTTTAAAGATTTGATTTTACCTTCTTGTTTTTCTTAAAAAATATTGTATGTGTTCCGGCACACAAATATTCGAAGAGGATCAAATCAAACCTGTTCGAAGTCAGTCACACATTCCCTGTCCGTAGTAGAGTTTGGCCTAAGCATGACTCATGAGGACATTCGGAAGTGAGGATTTTTGAAAAATTAATTCGAATAAATAAATAAATAGCCACCCAAGAGTAAGTTCCAACGCAAATTTTGATGATATTCGCATCATGTCGGGCAAAACTCTAATTTTCAACTTTGGAAGATCGCACCTAACTCAAGCAATCTACTCATTTCACTTTCCCGACGAGATCGCACTAAATTCTCTTACAAGCTTCAGCCTTACGAGTAGTGACAATGGACTTTTAAAAGATGAGTGGGAACATATAATTTTCAAGAAAGGGAGTGTAAGTAAACAGAAGAGGAGTAACCTATATAGTTTGGGTTTTTGCAATCAAACTTTCCATAGCCTCTTCTGGTCAAAATTTCGACAATCAGTAATCAGCAGCAGTACATTTTTTTTTTTTGGTCAATAAGAACTTTCATTAACATGAGAGCAACCCAACAGATTACAACTCAACAAGAGGAAAAGCAAAGCCATGCGACAGAAACAGAAGTGCATGCACAGCAAAACTCAATACACCCATACAAGCTGCTACAAGAAAGAGCCCCACAGTGTGGGAGTGGTTCGACAATCCAGAAACAGAGAGTCTTGGCCATCTTGAACAGCACATGCTATGTGGAGGCTGAAGGAGGGCAGGGAAGGCCGTCACGATTTAAGATATGAACAAGAGAGGTGGGGGGCCTGGATACCCAGACTTCCGGACTCGACCTCGATAGTGCTAGCGACGCAAGGTGATCTGCCGCTTCATTGTTTTTCCTATTGGTCCAAACCCAGTTACAGTTTGAGAAATTGGAGTTGCATTCACGGATCCTTGATAGAAGTGGATAGAGATTCCATCTTCCACGTTTTATGTTTCCTTTCACGCTCTCGATCAGCTCTTTGGAATCAGATTCAAAGCAAACCTCTGATAAGCCCAGCTCATATGCCCATTTGCAACCCTCAAAACCAGCAATTGCCTCAGCCATGATCGCAGAATCCGCATGGAAAGATAGGCATTTCGCTCCCCTGAACTCACCATTGGCATTTCGTGCAATAAGGCCTGCTCCTGCTTTGCCAGAGGATGCCGACCAAGCAGCATCAAAGTTAACTTTAATAACATGGGCTTCCGGTGCGGTCCAAAGGGTAGGACTTGGAGAGGGTTGTTGATGAACTTTAACCAGCAATCAACAATACATTTTTGTTGGTCAAATTCAAGGTTGTTGATGAACTTTAACCAGCAATCAACAATACATTAGCAATGGAACTTTAACAAAATGTGATATTGTCGATGAGCTTTTTTTTTTTTTGGGTAATGGAACTTTAACAAATGGAGATTTACATTCTCTCTTAATTGTTATTTACTTAAAATCCAATTCCATTCAACGCACAAATCTAAATTCAAATTGGATCAATTTGAAACATTTACTTTTAATTTGTATGGTTTTTTTATTTGGGTGGGTTTTTGACCGAAACGGTCCCCTAACTTTTGCTCCAATATCATTTTAGTTCACCAACTAAAATTTTCATTTCAATCGTCTTCCAACTCTTCATTTGGTATCAAAACTGTCCTACCATCCAATTTTCGGTTAAATTGAGTCACGTGGATGACACATGCTCCAATTTTAAGGGTAAATTGGACTTTTTAATCACACAGAAATTAAAACCCCCACCCACCCACCTCCACACAAAAATCTGGGTTTGATTGTTTATCGGTTACTCTTTTTTTGTAATTTTATTTTTGTATTTATCTGATTTAACTTTTTAAATTAATTTAAACAATAGAGAATTTTTTAAATTAATTTTTAAGTCATTCTCAGCTATAAAAAAAAAGCCCTGGGGCTGGTGAGTGAACTACAGTAGGTGGCTGGTAATTTTTTATTTTTTAAAGTTTCATAATAGTTTCCTTTAATTATTAATTATTTATATTTTCATTCTTATGGACAGTTTTCCTTCAATTTAACGGTAATATTAAGTATTAACAGTCTTTAATAGTGAGATTGTTTTGATACCAAATAAAGAGTTGGAGGACTATTGAAATGAAAAATTTAATTGGTGGACCAAAAGTCGCTATATCCACTGATACCTCATCACCAGTCAACAAATCATCTTATAATTTTTACAGCATTTGGAAACTATTAGCTTTGCATATAAAAAATTGTTGTCGTTGGGTAGCAAATTTGGTAAGGTTGGAATGAGATTTTAGACTTGAACAGAAAACTAAAAAGGAGAAACAAGTAATTGAGAAAACACTGTAGATTTTATTGAAGTAGGATTACAACTCCATGGCCGATATAGCTCACCTCAAATGGTTGATATAAAACATACACCACATATTGAATGACAGATCCATTTGAGGGCGAGTGACGACTATTGGCCCTACTCACTTACAAAAAGGGCTAATTGATTTTAACCTTATTTGCGTGGTTGGTAAAAATCGTATCAATAAGTTAACAGTAGCTTTTGATCTACTTTGATTAGCATACCTCTTGTGTTTAAGAGATATAATAGCAACTGGTGATTAAGTTTCTATGTTAGATAGTAGTTGGTGGTTAGCATTTACTCCCATATTCTAGGATGTTATTGTTCTGTTATAAAAAGCCCTGTATCTGCAGCAGTTTATGGCAAGAAGCAACAAAAAATTCAGACGACCTTACCAGAGCTCTTTAGAATATAATATATCAGCCCTGTCTCTACTGTCTTCTTTTTTGTTTGTATAGTTTCTATTTCTCTCAGGGTCTCTACTGTCTTCCCTAGCTAGCTAGTTCCTACTCTGTTCTACTGCATTCACCCAACTTTGACTTGAAGCAAGCTACAATATCTATCGTTTTATCTCAGGCTCCTCTACCTCCAGTATTTGGTAAGTATGCATATAATTATACTTAATTATCTGTTAGCTCTTGAGTGCTCATAGTCATGCTCATAGTTAATTTACTATAATTAAAAAGACACTCATACTCATAGTCATGGATTGATCTCCGCGACATTGTGTAGATCGGAGCAGCGTTCAAGTCCATATATGGCGGAAAAAGTGCCACGCGTGCCCACCAATGAGGACACAGTTGCGAGCATGAGCAAAGCGGCTGACCACCCCAAAGCCCTCGTAAGACCGCTGCGTTCTGCTTTGACGGATTTAGAATTTCCAACCACGGATGGCGATGAAGATTCATATATGGCGGACGAATTAGCGTCTGACCACCGCGAAATAAGGGATCTAAAATTCCCCCTGAGGCAAATATAGACTTTGGTCACCATAAAATGAGGGAGGCACTGAATCTGAATGTAACAGAACCATTCGATCAAAGACTGGTTGAGCAAATAGGTGGCGATGAAGGTTCAAGTAGCTTGCGCTTGTTCCTTCAGTTGTACGGCTACGCAACTCAGGGAAAGATAGATAGCTTTAAGGACACCATTGAAAGGAAGCTTGAGGCCGATAAAGCACATGATCCCAATGCTAGAGTTTGGCTTCTGTCTGGCCTAAGCCCCCATAAGAACACACTCCTTCACATAGCTGCGAGCTTCGGCCATGCGAAACTAGCAGCCGAGATCCTAGACCTTCACAAGCCCCTTTTGTTTGAGAAAAACTTTGACGGAGACACTGCCCTCCATATTGCGGCCAAAACCGGGGAATTAGATACCACAAACACTCTTCTCCGTGAAGCCCGAGGCGTTGATAATAATGATCATGATGTATCCAGGTTGCTGAAATCGGTGAATGTTGAGATGAACACTCCCTTGCACGAGGCCCTGATTCATGGTCACCAAGAAGTAGCAAAGTGTTTGATCGAGGCCAATTCTGCCTTCCCTTTTGATTATAATAACGAACAAAAGTCCTCTTTGTATCTGGCCGCTGAGGAAGGGTATGTTGAGATCGTGAAGCTACTAAACAAAAGAGTTGAGCCAAAGACAGAAGTTCGTGTCCCTGGCAAGTCCCCGTTGCATGGTGCAATTCTAGGCCGCCGGAACAAAGGTACCGGTATTTTTTCAACTTCAAAGAAAAACGTTCATTATAATGATATATATTGTTCTAACTTATACTTGATTTCATTAGAACTCTTAGAGATAATATCAAGTATGGAGGAAACGTTTAAGAGCCCAAAAGATGAGGAAGGGAGGACTCCACTACATTGTGCAGCATCAATTGGTTATCTGGAAGGGGTTCGTTTCTTATTAGAAAGACACCTCTCCGATTCTCAACAGGTGGATCATGGTGGCAACTTTCCAATCCATTCAGCATCAAGCAAAGGTCATGTCAATATTGTTAAAGAGCTGCTTCGACATTGTCCCGATTCAAAGGAATTGAAGAACTGTAATGGCGAAAATATACTCCATGTTGCAGCAAGATGCGGCAAAGACAATCTTGTCAAATATTTTCTCAAAAAGGGTGAGTTTCAAATGTTGATAAACCAAAAAGACATGAAAGGAAATACTCCTATACATTTGGCGGCGATGCACCACCATCCCAAGGTTGTCTACAGATTGGCTTGGGATACAAGGACAAACATAAAGCTCTTGAATGGTGGCGACATGACAGCTCTTGACATTACAGAAAGCACATCGGAAACTATTGCATCATATCGTGGGGTAAGTTAGCACTATATCTACTTTTATGACATTACTGATGATGATGATTTTGGCTATCATTTCTAAGGGCAGTATCCTTGTTCTATTTAGTGTGTTGGGAACAAGTGCGCATGAATTCCAGTTTGGTATATTCTCAAAGAAATTGAACAGACAACTAAAAGGAGTAAAAACTTGTCCTTGTATGTGGATTAGGTTAAAACTAAAAGAAATTGAACAGACAACTAAAAGAAATTGAACAGACAAAATGGTAAAAACTTGGACAATTTGATGCTGAAAAAACTGATGTATCTAAAAGGGTGTCAGATAAGAAAAATACTTGTAAGTGAATTAGTAGCTGCATAACCAAGAGAGGCACATGTCCAGCCTCTAAGGGCGGATGCACAGAGGGCCAAATATGGTCAAGCGACCCCGTGAACTCCATAAATTTTCTCTACAAGCTCTGTCGGTGACCCCTTGAAAGTGGCCACCAACTGCTCGACGAAATCCCTCAAAGATAGAGGCAATTAAAACGTTATGAGAGTTGGATTTACCTCGGGGGTTTTGACTTGGATATAACATGCACGGGTGTATTTTGGCTTAGTATATATAAAAAAGCTAGTTAATATAATGCTGATCAATGTTCAAAAGCTAGTTCACATTAAAATTTGGAGGAGGGGATGAGATGAGAGGGGAAGGTATGAGAGACTGAGGTTTGAGAGTTAGCGGTGACCACTAATAATGGAAATTATGGAATAAGGAATTGATGAAACACATAAAATAAAATGATTTTGGCTCCTCGGGCACACCCTCAACAGGAGAAATTAGTTGACGAGACAGACAGTAACATCACATGGACAGTATAAATACTCACAAATATGAATAAAAGTAGTATCTTCTAATTTTTCTTGGTATTTTTCTTTTACAAAATATTTGAAATTTTTTACACATTGATCTCTTCGGAGGCAAAATCCCTGATCCATCACTGTTCATCTATCTATTCATCTAAATAGTTACAGAGAGAAAAAAAAAAAGGTAATGATTTCCCCACTCCAATTTTATCCACTTACACTCCTTTTTTTAGTTATAAAATGGAATGTAAGTGAATAAAATTGGAGTGGGGAAATCATCCCTGATCCATCACTGTTCATCTATCTATTCATCTAAATAGTTAAAGAGAGAAAAAAAAAAAAAGATAAATAGTTCCAATTTGTTGATCGGATAATGAATAATAAAATTAACTATATTAAGAGAGAATTGTAACCTATATATAATGGTCTATTATTGCCCTAAATTATTGTAGTGACATTACACTTTTTTCTATTATAAAAATTTCAAAGGAAAACCGTCTAAGTAGCAAACACTTCCCATTGACCCAAAAAAAAAAAAAAGAGTAGCAAACACTTCCAATGTTAAGTTAGATACTTCTGGTCAATGTTACACTTTTTTTTTTTTGTCAGGGTCAATGTTACAATAATATCATCTTTACCTAACAGTATCACGCATACACCAAAACATTATTGCACCTTTAGGTCATACCAGGTCAGCAAAAGAAAATCTATGATGTCATGATATGGGGTAAGGTCACCTAACCCAAAATTTATTTGAACTACCATTGATTTCTTAAAACAAACTGAACTCCAAAACCTCATAAAAAAGTCCAAAACACTCAATAGGGCATCAAAGTAATTTAATAATCAAAATTAAATTCAATAGGGCCAGCTTTCATTTTTTGGGTTTGTTTATAGAAATTAAATGGTGTTGAGTTTGTTTTTAATTTTAGTGCTAAGAATGGATATATAACTAAATATCTCAAAAAATAAATAAAACAATTCAGCCCAGCCAATATATAAACCACAAAACGGAGATTCAACAATTCTCACTCTACAAATCACTTCCACCCAAAGCCAAACATCCAAAAACCAATTAAAATAACAAACAACAACCAATTAACTTCTAATTTTCTAAACTGAAAGAGTAAGGGTTTATGGCCAGGCCCTGCCCGGCCTGGCCCATATTTAGGCTGGCCCAAACAAATAAAGAAACTCCTTTTTAAATTTATTTGGGGTTGAAAAAAAGCAAATATGGGCCATAAAATGAATAAAGACATTTCTTTGGGTCCAAAACTAAATAAACAACTATTCTGACAATAAAGTAATAATAAATATTTAACCGCGTTATAAATTGACCAAGTAGCGTAACGAAAACAAAACACTCCGCACTCTACTGCAGTGTTCTCAGTTCGCTCGTCGTCTGTTCCTGCCTTTCAATCTCGTTCTCCATTTTAGGTATTTCTCACTCTTTCGATTCAACTTTTCAATTTCTCTGGTTCTTGTTTCTAGGGTTTGATTCATTTTCTTTATTTATCTCTCTCTCTCTCTTCTTTCGTTCACGTCTTTGTTTTTGGTCAATGTAGTTCTTTTTCGTCAATTCAAATATTGTTATCTCTTACGGGTTCGTGGGTAGGTGATGGAATTTGAATATTGAATATAATTTAAGGAGATTATTCGCATACGTTGATTCTGTGTTTCAATTTGGGTTCTTTCTTTTTGCGATCTAGGGTTTGTGTGTTTTTATGTGGGTTTTGAATTTTATTGCTTTCTGGGTTATATGATTATTGGCTTGATTTGTTTCGAGAAATCTGCTCATTTTACGAGTTTATCGTTCTTTCTTTTTGCTTGCTAGGGTTTGTGGGTTTTTATTAGGGTTTTCAATTTTATTGCTTTCTGGTTTAGATGATCATTCGTATGATTTTGTCTTGAATTTTTTTTATTATATATAAAAGAGTTTACTGCTTCCTGTGTTTCATTGCTTAGTTCGTAGTTATTTTGCGTTTGGTTTTCTGTTGCCTAACGAAGTTTATGTGTAATAATGTTGGAAACAGGGCCTTCATTTTGCACCCGATGTCTTTTGATCACAACAAGGAACATTCATCAATTATTAGAGCATTTTGTTTTATGAACCGAGGCAGACTCTGGTTGAGGAGGATATTGTTTCGGGACTGGACTTGACTCTCCTTTTCTTTGGAGGAGGGGGTCTTGATTCCTTCACTTCTAGTGAGGAATTTCTAGTTTGAGATTTAAGGGATCTAAGAAGTGAAGGAATTTCTAGTTTTTTCTAGTTTGAGATTTAAGGGTTCGTATTAATAAGGGGACTCTCATGGGGAAATCATCCTTGGCTCCTGGGTTTCGGTTCAAGCCAACTGATGTTGAGCTTGTGCAATACTACTTGAAGAGAAAGTTACTGGGGAAAAGGCTCGGTTTTAAAGTCATTGCAGAGGTTGACATTTACAAGTATGATCCTTGGGATCTTCCAGGTATAGGTCACTTCACTTTCTCGCCTTTGAATTCCTTATCTATCATCTAGTGCATTCTTTGTATTATTTAGTTTCTTACTGTGTTTTGTTTTTCCTTTCCAGACAAATCTTGCTGGGATTGTGGAGATCTGAAATGGTATTTCTTTTGTCCGAGAGAAAAGAAATATCGTAATGGGAATAGAATTCAACGTGCCACTGAAGGTGGTTACTGGAAGACCACGGGAAAGGATAGATCGGTTCTTTACAGTGGTGAAGTTGTTGGGTGGATAAAAACTTTAATTTTTCACACTGGTCGAGCCCCACGTGGAGATCGAACAAATTGGGTTATGCATGAGTATAGGCTTGAAGATCAGGGCCTGGCTGATAGGGGTGTGCCTCTGGTAATTGCTACTCTTCCTCCTTTAATTATTTTTATTTCTTCCTTTTTATTCAATGGAATTTTTGTGCGATGTAAAAAAATTAAATTTCTTCTGCTGCAACTGATTATAATTTTTTCATGCATCCAAATTGGATTGATCATGTTGCTATTTCCATTCCCTTATTCTTTGTTATATTGCTGCTGATGGTTGGTCAGTTGATATTGATCTTAGTTGGCTCTTTCGATGTTGCAGGACTCATATGTGCTCTGCATGATTTTCCAAAAAGAAGGGCTAGGGCCAAGAATTGGTGCACAATATGGTGCACCCTTTAAAGAGGAAGACTGGAGTGATGATGAGGTTGAAATTAGTTCAGAAGCAGTCCAAGTTGCAATCACGCCTGAGCCAGATCTTGGGTTGCCTTGCAATTATATCAGCCCAACCGCTACTAATGCACATTCTGTTGGGGATATTGGCATAGGTCCATCTGGATCAGGCATTTGTGATATTTTACCACCTTTTTGTGAGGTTTCCCAGCCGGTTTCCAGTAATTACGTTACACTGGAGATGCCTCATGCTTCTGTTGGTGATGATATAATTTCAATGTTCGATTGCTTTACAGAAGAAAGTGCTCTCTATATAGATGAACCTAAAAAAATTGAGGCGGAAGGTCGTTTAGAAACAGTCCAAAATGCAAACATGCCTAGTACACATTCCCCTGAAGTTATAGGCGTAGGTCCTTCATTCGAATCATGCGGATTTGATGTCTTACCACCTTGCAATGTTATCGAATCGGTTTCCTGTAATTTTGTTACAATGGAGAACCCTCCTGCTTCTAATGGTGATGAGACCCTGCCAATTATGGATTGCTTTGCAGAAGAAAGCACGTTTCTTGTGAATAATAATGGCAAAAATGAGGTGTGTAATGCGCTCTTCCCTTTTCTTTACATGTAGTATTGGCATGTAACATTCTTGATTTTAGTGGCAAGTGGAAATGCAAATTAGGATTTAATATTTGGATTCAATTTTTTTTTTTCTGAGTACTGTTATCATTTACTGCATGTACTGATGTGTTTGCATTTTCATCTTGGCTTTTTCCAGTCATAAGTATGCCGATTTTTTATTTGTTTATGTGAATCTTGCAATGCCTTTGGTGTTTATTTGACTGAGAAGTCTTTTCTTTCCTATTTGTGTTATCATTTTAAAACACTCTCTGTGCGTGTGTTGTAGCTTGCCAATACATATTTGCAAATGCTGTAACTAATTAGTGTCCTTTATGCTATCTGATGCTTCTTTCAGATATGTTTGGTTCTTGCCACTGTTTCCTTTCCCATAGCTGGAGAGTAAAGAAAAACCCTGCTTTATTTTGCTAGGAGTAATTGTATTCTATTATCCTCTGCTGATGAGGAGTTTCTTTCTCTTCCTCCTTTCTTGATCATGCTCTCTTGTTTTTCCAATGAGCAATGATATGTTACTGCTTATAGTAATATCTGACTGACTGTTCTTAACTACAGAATGTCATTGCTTGAAGCATGAGTTTTAAACTAGATGGTGTAATTTCCATACTGTTATTACGTTTTAATTTTTCTTACATGCATCTGTATCTGTTAATACAAGTATATGGCTTCCCAAAGTGTATTAATATGTGCATATTATCCTGCAGGAACTTAATAATCTCGAACATTTTGGCAATGCAACACCTCATTTTAATACAAGCAACATATATGAAGATCTAGGAGACTTGGAAAACTTGGGTAGAGTTGGTGAAGTTGGATATAATTTCTGCAGTGAGCCTGATTCTAGGAGCCATTTTCTGGAGCTATATGATCTCGACCAACCTCAACATCCTAATCTCTTCCTTTAGTTATGTAATTTTTATGTCAAGTTTACTTTGCATTGATGGTTACCGATTCCGGATTTTATTTTGTTTTCAACTATATTATCCAATCATGTATCCCTTTATGTTTCTTAGCTTGTATTACCTTTGCTGCCTTTGGGCTGTTTAATGAATTATTCACTATTGACCAAAGGAAAATTTATCGCTAGAAGTGTAAATCTAAGCTTGAGCATTTCCAGAAACACTACTCTCTTTTTTGGTTGCTAATTCTTAGTTAAAATGGGTACAAAGTTATTTTGAATGAAATACAAAGAGGGAAGGATTTTGGCGGAAATACAAAGAGGGAAGGATTCAGACCACGTTTTCTTTTACTTGTTTTCATCGTCCCTCGTATTCTCCATCTCTGTTTCACATTTTCTTTTCCCTTCTTATCTCTCTCTACTTTCTCTCTTTGAAAATTCTAGTTTTATTATCTACAACCATAGCAACTAGGGTTATTGAAAAAAAAAAGTTAACAAGACTTGCTGATTTCCCCAAAAATTGAACGACCGATTTGTCTCGACCGCGGAAAAGGTTCCCAACCAATTCAAGAAATATTACTTGCAAAGGGCACATCATTTGAAGTTAAAGCACCATCAGTCCAGTCGGATTGAATAGAGGTTTGCCTTCCAACTATCTGAATAACAACTGTGTTTTAGGACCAAAATAAGAGCAAACACAAAAGAAAAAAAGAAAAAAGAAAAAGAAAAAAAGAAAAAGAAACACCAGCAGCTAACCCCAAATGGGAGAACAGAGAGCAAGACCAGTTTCAAACCAGCTAGAAGGTGAAAAATGAAAAAGAAGAAAAAGTCGTGCACTCAAATTTCTAGGGTGCAGGTGGAAATGACAGAAGCAATTTGGGGAAGGACTGTAAAATTTTATATTGAGGCAAATTGTTAATGGGAGAATGAGTTTCATAATTCATTCTTTTTGGCAGAAGGAATCCATTCCATATATAGCATAAGCATTGAACATTTCCATTGTCACCATCAATGTTAAATACCACCTAAAGTAGAAGAAAAAAAAGAAGAAGCAATTAATTTGAAGTAAAAAAATTCAAACCTTAAAATATATGGATCTGGAAGGAAGAAAATTAATATTAAATTTTGGTCAATATATACCTTCGTTATACTTAGTGAGATTTAATCAAACAACGAGTCTTGACTTGGTTCTAAATACTATATATTCAAATCCTTACCTGCTTCGACATGGAAAATCATATCCAAGAGTACAAGACCAGTTCATTCTCTCTAGTCTATAAATAGGCTTCTAACCCATGAAGGATTTTCATCCCACACACTCAAACCAAATCTTTATTACCTAGCTAATTAAGCCAACTGCAATGAAAGGTGTTTATTTCCTCATAAGCACTCTTGCCATATTGGCATCTGCAACCTTCCTTGTCTCTGCCTCTGACCCCGGTCCTCTTCAGGACTTCTGTGTAGCACTGAATGACACCAAATCTGCTGGTATGCATTAATACATACTTGTGTTAATTATTTATATTCTGTCCCGCAATTATTTCCACATGAATTATTTTCATTAGACATTAGGTTTATGAATATTGTTTTTCTGTTAACTATAGCTTCTTCTCATGCATGAAAAATCTGTTAGTACGTAATTTTACATATGAATAATGCTATTTGTACTATATTCATTGGCCATCTTAGTGATCATCTCTCTAATATATATATCAAGTGGTTTCCACTTACGCACGTGGATTTTACCTCCGAATAGCACTAACACTAAAGTTTAATGTAACTCTTTTTTTGGGTGTAGAAGCAGTGTTTGTGAATGGGAAGTTCTGCAAGGACCCAAAGCTTGCCAATGCAAATGATTTCTTCTTTTCTGGCCTCCAAAATCCAAGAAACACACAAAACCCGCTTGGTTCAAATGTGACAGCCGTGAATGTGGACAACCTACTAGGATTGAACACTCTCGGCATATCCTTAGCTCGTATAGACTTTGCACCAAATGGCCTAAATCCTCCTCACACTCACCCTCGTGCCACCGAAATCCTTGTGGTCTTGGAAGGAACACTCTATGTTGGTTTCGTCACATCCAACGGTGATGGCAATCGCCTATTCACTAAAGTGTTGAACAAGGGAGATGTGTTTGTGTTCCCAATTGGCCTCATTCACTTCCAACTCAATGTGGGAAAAGTCAACGCTGTAGCCTTCGCTGGGCTTAGCAGCCAGAACCCAGGAGTGATCACCATAGCCAAAGCAGTGTTTGGCTCCCAGCCTCCCATCAACCCTGATGTTCTAGCCAAGGCCTTCCAAGTGGACGATAATGTGGTTGACAATCTTCAGAAACAGTTCTGGTACGACAACAATTAGTAAAATACAACAATAATTATGTATTAAGTTGGCCAATATGTTTTTAACTACGTACCTACAATAAATTACTATGATGTAATATTAATTGAATAAGATTGTTGGTTTTGAAATAATATAATTTCATACTGTAGTTTTGAAATAACATTATGCATTAATTTAACAAAGAAATTATGACAGCTTAATAATACTAAAATGGAGGAGCCTTGCCATTTTAACATTGATAAGTTTGGCCCATGCTCTAGGGCAAATCACGTAGAAATTTCTCTCTCTCGAGGACAGCTGTTTGCGTGCAATTAGTGCGGACATTAAATTCAACCGTTGGATTGATTTTAAAAGGTTACATGTAGAATCTAGTAAAAGAAAACACAAATTCACCTGACTGAGACCCATTGACCCACACAATCATCTTCTCTTTCCTCTTTCTCTGCCTTCTTCTATTTTCCTCTCCTTCTCCTATAATGTCTCTCTCTCTCTGGGCATTCAAACTGAAAAATCGAGCTGAATTGAGCAGAAAAAAAATCAGAATAACCAAAAACCAGACCGAGTTGACCAAAAATCAAACTAGACTGGTTTGGTCCGATTCCAATTCCAGTATCTTGTAGTGAAGAAAGGGACGGGGCCGAACCGGACAGATTGTGGTGGATTTCAGACCACGTTCTTTTTCTTTTTTTCATCTTCTCTTTATCTCCATATTTGTTTCACATTTTCTTCTCCCTTATCATCTTTCTCCCTACTTTCTCACGTTGAAAATTCTATAATCTACAACCATAGCAACTAGGGTTATTAAAAAATATATATTCGACCTACTGATTTCCATAAAAATTAAATGACACATTTGTCTGTTTGAAATATTACTGGAGGGACTGTTTAAAAGCTACTCAGTCATGTTAGTAAACATAATTTGAAGTTAAGCAGAATCATATTGAATTCAGGTGTCCCTGCCAATTATCTGAATAACATCTGTGCTTTAAGACCAAAAAGAAAACACAATGTGAAAAAAATATAGAAAACACCACCAGGTAACCCCAAACGGGAAAATAATCAGGAGCAGCGGCTACTTTGAGCAAGACCAGTTTTCTTTTGGGAGATTCACTATTATATCCAATATAGGAGCCTAAATTATATAAAAAAAAATCCTATATGAAATGGTCTTTAGAAACACACCCAAAGTCCATTTATAACATAACAAAAAGGCTTCTAACTTATTTTAAATTACAAAATTGCCATTGATTTCTTAAAACAAACCCAGCCTCAAAACCTCAAAACAAAACCCAAAACACTCAATAGGGCATCAAAGTAATTTAATAATCAAAATTAAATTCAATAAGGCCAACTATCATTTTTTGGGGTTGTTTATAGAAATTAAATGGTGTATGGTTTATTTATAGTTTTAGTGCTAAGAATGGGTACGTATATAACTAAATATCTCTTTTCTTTTTTATGAACTGGGGGTGGTAAAACCCCTAGAAACACAGAGCAACTACTCACACTACAGACCAACCGAGTCCTAGTGACTCCTAGCAAATCATCAACAGGGCTAGAGGCAAACCAACTCGGAGCCATATCAAGAAAACAAACACCTAGGTCCAGATTGTAGCTCCACTGAGCAATACAATCAGCAACCACATTTCTTTCTCTATAAACATGCTGAAGAGCACAGGTATCAAACTTTCTCATAAGCTCCCAACAGCTTGAAACAAGAGACATCATAGGATGTGAACCAAGAGCAGTAGAATTCTGCATCAACTTAATAGCCACTGCAGAATCCATTTCAACCAACAGATTACGAATACCTCTATCCTGAGCAAGCTTTAAACCAAAAACCAGAATCCATTTTAGCAAGACCACTTTCAAACCAGCTAGAAGGTGAAAAAATGAAAAAGAAGAAAAAGTCATGCACTCAACGTTAATTGGTGGACTGACTGTAAAATTTTATATTGAGGCAAATTGTCACCATCAATGTTAATTAGGAAATGAAAATCGTTCTCTTTGTAGAATGAATCCATATATAGCATAAACATTGAACATTTCCATTGGTTAAATACCACCTAATCTAAAAATATATATAATTATCTCCTAACCTAGTCTTTCTTTTTGGTACAACTCTGAATACCTGGTCTTTCATCATCATAATTATATGAATATATTCTTCCTCACCTGACCTTGTCTTATAATTAAACAACCCTAATAACCCTTTACAAAAGGTAACTTATTTTATTGAAACACCAAACAGTAGAGCTGAGTCAAAGTTCTTCAAAATTCTATCACAACTGAATTTTCTTTTTCTAGTGCTAACATATATATAGGAAATTGATTGTTCAATAGTTAAACTTAAAGGTGAGATTTTGTCAAATACCATGTCTTGACTTGCCTCTAAATACTACAATATTCAAATCTTTACCTGCTTCGAAAAGGAAAATCATATCCAAGAGTACAAGACCAGTTCATTCTCTCCAGTCTATAAATAGGCTTCTAACCCATGAAGGATTTTCATCCCACACCCTCAAACCAAAACTCTCTACACACAAAGAAAAAACAGTAAAAGAAAGTTTTGAGGCAACCTAGCTCTAAATAAGCTAACTGCAATGAAAGGTGTTCATTTCCTCATAAGCACTCTTGCCATATTGGCATCTGCAACCTTCCTCGTCTCAGCCTCTGATCCCAGTTCTCTTCAGGACTTCTGTGTAGCACTTAATGACACCAAATCTGCTGGTATGCTTTAATTATATTCATTATATTCTACCCTGCAATTATTTCCACATGGATTATTTTCTTCCTAAGGCATTAGGAATATTATGAAGATTGTTTGTGTTAACTATATGCATTTGCATGGCTTCTCATGCATGAACAATCTATTAGTACATAATTTTACATATATATATGTATTGTCCCTTACACATGTATGTGCTATTTGTACTATATATACTGACCATCTCACTGATCATCTCTCTAATATATCATGTGGGTTCCGTTTCGCTTAGGTGGATATTTCGGTGCAGGCGCAGTGTTTGTGAATGGGAAGTTTTGCAAGGACCCAAAGCTTGCCAATGCAAATGATTTCTTCTTTTCTGGGCTCCAAAATCCAAGAAACACACAAAATCCACTTGGTTCAAATGTGACAGCCGTGACTGTGGACAACCTACTAGGATTGAACACTCTCGGCATATCCTTGGCTCGCATAGACTTTGCACCAAATGGCCTAAACCCTCCTCACACTCACCCTCGTGCCACCGAAATCCTTGTGGTCTTGGAAGGAACACTCTATGTTGGTTTCGTCACATCCAACGGTGATGGCAATCGCCTATTCACCAAAGTGTTGAACAAGGGAGATGTGTTTGTGTTCCCAATTGGCCTCATTCACTTCCAACTCAATGTGGGAAAAGTCAACGCTGTAGCCTTCGCTGGGCTTAGCAGCCAGAACCCAGGAGTGATCACCATAGCCAAAGCAGTGTTTGGCTCCCAGCCTCCCATCAACCCTGATGTTCTAGCCAAGGCCTTCCAAGTGGACGACAATGTGGTTGACTATCTTCAGAAACAGTTCTGGTACGACAACAATTAGTAAAATACAACAATAATTATATGCGAAAAGCATAAAAGGCCAAGGAAAGAACAATAAATCGATGTGCTTGGTTGGATGTATAAGTTGGCCAATATGATTTTCACTACGTACCTACAACAAATTACTATGATGTAATATTGATTGAATAAGACTGTTGGTTTTGCATTACTTACCCTCTGGGTTTTGAAATAATATAAGTTCATGCATTAATTCAACAAAGATACCATTATTCCAACTTAATAATACTAAAATGGATGAGGCTTGCCTTTTTAACGTTGATAAGTCTGGCCCACGCTCTTGGGAAAATCAGGTAGAGGGCAGAGTTTCAACAACTCTTCAGCCAAAGATCATGGTCCTCTTGAAGTTGACTAGAAATATTAAAAGGAAACATTTTGTAGCTAGTTAAGTTCTTCATTAGTTCTTGGTCAGAAGATTTTAAAACTTGGGTTTGGGTTCTAATCCATAATCCTACATGCTCTGCTATTTTTCACTCAAACCGTTCATTTGCTGTAGAAAGAAAAACAAGTTATTGCCTCATTGGCCTTAAGCATGGGCACACATTAACTTGTGGGTTAAAATCATATTCTTTTAGGTTGTTCTTTGTGTTTTCATTTCATATAAAAGTTTGTACTATAAAGAAGAAGAGAACCATGATTATCAATGACAACAAATGCTGCAAGCTGGATATACAGAATATACCTCAATGGAGCAAAAATTGGTCGAACTTTTTCAAATATTTCATCGACTGTTCTGTGGGAGCGATTTCTTCCCACGAGAAAATTAGATTGAAAGATTCCCCTTTCTTCTTCGCCGTCTCTTTCTCCTTGCCAAATAGATCGAAATAAGAGGACCACACCCGGGGGGTGTTGGCCAAAGGCCCTCCGATGCCTAAATTAGTTCCATTGATTCGTATTGAAAACAATAGCTAAATAGGGTACGGAGATATATATGTAAGGTGTAAACCGGGTGGCCGGAGCCTTGTGTAAAAAGGGATAGAGAGTATGGCGGCTAGGGTATATGAGGGATAATTTCTGCAAAGTTTCAGTATGAATTTAGACGTGTCTCAACCCTTGTGTGTAGCCATCTATTTATAGGGGCCTCGGAGGCTAGGGTTTCAGAGGAATAATTCAGCAAATAGAAAGGAATTATTCCTCCCCGATTTGGTGAGATTGGATTAATTAGGAATTTGAATTAAATCAAATCCCTAAAATAGGTAACTCCCAATTAAATTGAGTAACCCCCGATTAAATTGAGTAACTCCCAATTAGGTCAAATAATCCCCAAATGGAAGGAAATATTTGACCAAGGGTTTTGATTTAATTTGGTTCCCACAAATGCCCCTTAGCTTCTGCATGACGCGTGGTGGCATGGAGGAGGTGTGCACTAACTGTTGGGCTGTCCAGCTGTAACTGGGCTTCCTTATTGGATTTGGGCTCTTTTTGCAAATTGGGTTCCCTGTTGGAGTGGGCTTTTGACTGTTCTTGGAGTTGGGTTCCCAGTAGGAACGGGCTTGCGATTCATTCTTGACCTAGGATGCCCAATCTGTGTAAATGTAGGGCTTCTC